CAGATAGAAGATATGGCTGTTATGGATATGACAGCAGTTAGAGGTAAATCACATTTGACTCCACTTATGGCACGAAATCATTTGCGAACTCTTTGGTCCAACGAAAAGGAATCGCTTCTCAGAATATTCCCATTTCTCAAACCCGACGTGTCGTGTAGTGAAGGCTCGACACCAATCGATGTGTTCTTTATGGACACGGTTTCGGTGCCTCCGAATCGGTTCCGACCGTTAAGACATATGAATGGGCGTCAGTTCGAAGCGGAACAGACGGCCGCTTTGAGCCAAATCATCATGAATTCAGACATATTGGACGTCGCTTTTCGTCAGGCAAAACAGCTCAACAGGTCTTCCCTTCCATCAGATGCGAGCACTCCATCGACGTCTTCAGCCACCGATAGATCCAAAGATGTGGCGAAGTTTCACATGTGTTGGCAAAAACTACAACTCCAAGTGAATCGGTTGTACGACTCGGATATGGATAGACTTCCCGACAATAAGGCGACGGGAGTTAAGCAGATATTGGAGAAGAAAGAGGGACTCTTCCGAAAGCATATGATGGGAAAGCGTGTCAACTATGCCGCGCGTTCTGTCATTTCTCCCGACCCTTACATAATGGTCGACGAAATTGGTATTCCTATGGTTTTTGCCACAAAACTTTCTTACCCACAGCCCGTCAATGACCATAATATCAATCAATTGAGACAAATGATCATCAATGGGCCGGACATATATCCCGGCGCTCTATCTGTTGTGTACGAAAATAAGCGCGTTATAAGGCTTAAAGCCGATGACGTGGTATTTCGCAAGAATTTAGCCGATCGTCTAATTGTTCCCAAACACGGCTTTCGTGATAACAATATCCGTGTTGTGAACCGACATCTCTTGTCGGGCGACGCGCTTCTACTGAACCGTCAGCCGACTCTACATAAGCCCTCAATTATGGCACATAAGGCTCGAGTGCTTCCGCGAGAAAAGACATTAAGACTTCATTACGCGAACTGTAAGTGTTATAACGCGGACTTCGACGGCGACGAAATGAACGCTCACTTCCCGCAGAGCGAGTTAGCCCGCGCCGAGGCCTATAACATCGCGAGCGTTAACTTTCAATATTTGGTGCCCAAAGACGGCACACCGTTGAGTGGTCTCATTCAGGATCACATCATTTCTGGCGTTTGGATCACAATTAGGGGACAATTCTTTAAGAAAGGAGATTTCCAAGAACTGCTTTACGGCGCGCTTTCATTCCTCAACAAACCGCTCAAATTAGTTCCGCCGGCGATCATCAAACCGGAACGCCTTTGGTCTGGCAAACAAATTATTACCACAATTATTATGAATATTGTGCCCGAAAACAAACCGATGCCAACCCTTTCGATTGCCACTAAACTTAACCCCAAAATATTGCAAAGAAGTCGTGCGAGACAGTGGACGGCCGGCGGAACTCCTCTCCAACTGACCGACATGTGTGAGAGTCAAGTGATTATACGTAAAGGAGAGCTTTTGTGTGGAGTCATAGATAAAGTGAATTTGGGTCCCAACCCATACGGTTTGATTCACTGCTGCTATGAATTATATGGCGGTCCCGTCTCGTCGGCACTTCTCACCAGTTTTGCCCGTCTCTGCACTAATTATCTGCAAATACACAGAGGTTTTACTTTAGGTATTTACGACATTCTCGTCGACCAAATGCCAAATGAAAAGCGAAATAAGTTTATAAAACGAGCCAAAAAGATGGGCCGAAAAGCGGCGGCAGAAGCGATGGGTCTTCAGGAAAATGACGACAAAGAACTGCTAATTGATAAACTGAAGAGCGCGCACACGAATACCAATGACTTCTATATGAAACAATTGGATCAATGCATGAAAGGACAGACCGACGAAATTAACAATAAAATAACTGAAGTGTGTTTACCGAGTGGTCTCATAAGTAAGTTTCCATATAATAACTTACAAATGATGATACAGGCGGGGGCTAAGGGGGGTTCAGTGAACGCCATTCAAATCTCATGCCTTTTGGGTCAAATCGAGTTAGAGGGTCGACGCGTTCCTCTTATGATGTCCGGCCGATCTTTGCCCTCATTCAAGCCCTACGAGACTGATCCCCGTGCGGGAGGTTTTGTTGCCCAACGCTTTATGACTGGTATTCGTCCGCAAGAATTTTTCTTTCATTGTATGGCTGGAAGAGAAGGTCTGATCGATACGGCAGTGAAGACATCTCGTTCTGGATATTTACAGAGATGTCTAATCAAACATCTCGAAGGACTGGTTGTTAATTACGATATGACTGTTAGAGATAGTGAGGGAAGTGTTGTTCAATTACTCTATGGAGAGGACGGACTCGACATTCTTAAGAGTCAAATGCTTAAAGAGAAAGTCATACCAATTGTGATACAAAATAACGACGCTTTGAGACCCAC